ATCTCCATACAATTACGGTCTCATCTCCAAAGAGAAAGAAAAAGAAAACTTTGCAATATATTATTACGTTTGTATGAATCATGATCCGACATTTGTAATGAACACGAAGAAAGCCATACCGCTGCGGAAAGCAATGCGATCGTCCTTGAGCACTTTCAAGGAAATATACGCTTTAAGTGTTGAGAAAAGAAGGGCAAAGCTCAACGTCCAGAGTCGCGTATCAAGATTTTGAAGCCCCATTTGCATTTGTACGACCTTTGAAAGCTTCAAAAAGATGTCATTGCTCTGACGTGAAATGTGAACCACTAGGCTCTTGGTTGTCAACAGTTTCAAACACTAGCCTTGTCATCATCATCATAGAAAAAGAGGACGAGAAAAAAACATGAATAAAGAATGCTAGTGGGGATGTCAAAATATGTGATACTCTAAGATTTAGTCTAGTATCGGTAAATTGATTGACTGATTGCGTGATTTAAATAATGAGTCTTGAGCGATAAGTGTAACATCGACCGGTTGATTTTAACAGCTGATTGAGTCAAATCACGTGTTGTACTTAGTGGGTCTTAAGGCTTATATCACTCCCAACGAGCCCGTGGGCCGGGAGGTTTGACAAATAGTATCAAAGTAGTTAGTCAGCCAAAAACGTGAAGCTAAGCGCCACAGGGGACCGAGTGCTACATTGCGTGAGTGCGGTGCGAGCCACCTCCTGGTGGTGATATTGGAACAGACCAATTGACATGTCGCGACGAGAACGTCGCTTAATTAAGGTATCGAAGGTGATTTTGATATCTTAATATTTAGTCCCACATCGGATATTGATTGAGTGATTATATAATTTAAATGATAAGTCTTGAAAGCCAATTGTAACATAGAGTAGTTATTAATTTTGGCAGTTGATTGAGCCAAACTATATATTGCACTTAGTAGGTCCCAGAGCTTATATCTTGCCAACAGGTTTGCGGGCTCGGTGCGTGACAAAATCTATTTATTAAATCCTAATATACTAAATGGGTAATTGCATATTAGTCCATTAAATCATCATTAATTGTTAAAACGTTCCTTAAATATCAGTATTTGATAAAAAGTCACTAAATTCTTTAATTTTCTTGCCAAATCTATTAACTTTTTTAGTACTTTGTGGTGTTAAGCCATAACCTAAGAGATGGAAATTTAGTCAAGTGCACTTGAAAGTTAGAGAAGATGAAGAGGAATGGATATAGTAAAAAACTTAAGTGATTATATAACCTTTAGAGGGGAATTTAGCTGTAGGAATAGTTCAGATTCTGGTTTGGAGAGATGTATTAACCATTGAAGAAGGGTTACTGGATTTTGGGTTGTGAGTTTTGGATATACACCTGTTATCAAAGGGGTCGTTGAAATTTAATGAGTTAAGAGTATAACGGAAAATCTATGTATTCACATTACAGTTAATGGAAATTTACCCTAATTATTAACCAGAGGAACATTTTGGCAAGAAAATCTGTTTTAACTATTTTTAAACTTTTGTTGGGTTAAGGGGGTGTTTGGTTCAATTTCTAGAAATTATAGGAAATGTTTTCCACCTAAAATATGATTTCCTTGTATTTCTTAAAAAAATTATAGGAAAAGTTTTGAGAAATCAAAAAGTACCAATTTTCTTGTTTTTTGTACTTGGCTTGTTTGGTTCAAAACAAGAAAATACTTCATAACTTTATAGAAAATAACAAGATTTGGTAGGTTTTTAATTAAATATAGTATGTGTCAGATTTCTGGTGATTTCCTCTCATTTTGAGAGGAAATTGCTTTTTGTAAAATTTGGTAGGTTTTGATATTTTATAGAAAATATTTCTGTAAATTTTTTGTTGAACCAAACACAATTTACAGAAATCTCTGGAAAACTTTTAATTACAAATTTGCCATTGTCAGATGTTTTAAGAAAAGTTTTCTTAAAAAGTGTGCAACCAAACAACCCCTAAGCGAAAGTTAGAGAAGAGAAAGAGGAATGGATATAGTGAAAAATTTAGGTGATTATATAGCATTTAGAAGGGAATTTAGCCGTAGGAATAGTTAGATCCGCATTTGGGTGACGTATTGACCGTTGAAGAAGAAGAGTTATTGGGTTTTGGGTTTCTGGTATACACCCACTATCAAATGGATTGTTGAAATTTGATGGACTTTTTGGCAAATATTGAGATTTGAGAAACTTTTTGGCAATTACAGAAAATGTAAGAGACTAATATGCAATTACCCCTATACTAAATTTTAGCAGTGGGATACAATTGGACGGTGCGTAGAGTTCGGTTAATCAAAAGATGTTTTAAAAAATTAGATCTTTGCCTAATTTAAATGCCCCATTATCCAAAAGAAACCAAGGGGAGCGTCACAGGAGATCAGGTGGCTTTGCAATTGGACAACACACAACTTACAGGTCAAAAAAAGAGAAATTAAGTAGGTAGGATGGTGATTAGCGAAGGGTCAGGCTCATTTATTAAGTTTTTAGTGACTATAATGTATGCATGCACTAACCAATCACCACAATAACAGAAGCATGGAGACAGCAAGAGAGCATGTGTTTGATTAAAATAGTGGTGGTATTGATTGTTAAAGCTCATAATGTGCTCATTGTTGTTTTATACTCTTATATATGAAAAAGTAGCAAAGAATTTGTTCAACGTTGGCTGTAAATGTTTTTGTTAGCCCTTTTCTGTTACCCTGTTTCATTTCAATCAGGGCCCAAAATTTTTCTGATAAAAGGAAGCCCGGAGCAATTCTAAGATGACTTGTGACATGAAGGATAAACAAAATTTTATAGCAAAATTAAACAAGTTGACTTCGACTTCCTTATCAAATTTTACAAACAGATGAACTCTGTTAACCGTCCAAACGGTAAATTTGCACAGAACCAACAATACTATCAATTGCAAAGAACGAATTAAGAGCATACAAGATTAACAACATGAGTAAATAAGTTCAATTAATCAACTCAAAGGGTTCATTTTTCTTCTTCTTGTTATCATCATCTCAAGAAATCTACAGGTTCTTGCATTGTTTACAAACACAGTAACTGAAAGCTTAGCATTTGTCCTATAAAGCTACAATGAAAATCAAAATTGATGCAAAACAGAGAAAAAAAGCAGCAAGGGGTTGGTTCTTTCCATTTTTTGCGTCCAAGCTATAAACTTTCAACCTAAAATTAGCATATCCAAGCACCAAAAAATCCCTCATTCTCCCATTTAACCTTGAATAACTAAGAAACATAACAACACTTCCAAATTAAACTCTAATTGGATCAAAATCATCCTCACAAAGGATTTCAACCCATCAAAAAAAGTAACATCAGAAAGTTACAGTCCCAGTCCCAACACACCATCCCATTTCCTTACAACAATGTGCAGCACAAACAATGAACTTAAACTCAAATTTAAAGCAAATAAGTTCCCCTCATCATCTTCTTCTTTTTTTTTTTTGGGGTGCACTGAATTAGTAACAAATCCTCTGTCCTCTCCCCAAAATTGGCTGTTATTATATCAAAATCATCCCCCCAAATGATTTTAACCCATCAAATAGAGTATAACTCTCCAAACCCACAACCTAATTTCCTTCACAGAACCAACAAATCAATCTAACAACATAGCCGTCTGTAGTGCAAAGAATGAACTGAAGTTGAATTAAAAACGGGGAAAAGAACTCATCTTTTGCCCTCCCCCTCGTCGTCATCCCCCAAGAAATCTACAAGATTGGATCAAAATCACCTTTTGTTCTCCTTCTCATCATCATCATCATCAACAGCAGAGCCCCAAGAAGTGTGCAGATTCTGATCGGACGGGCTCGAGTGAATCTGCATCATCCTCCCCATCCCCAATCCAAGCCCACACATCTGCCTCATTGCCTTCTCAACCTCCTCCTCCTCCTCGATTATGCTCCCCGAGCCGCCACCTCTCTGTTCAAAGGACTGCCTCCTTCAAGACCCCGACCTCCATGAGATCCCGTAGCTGACGGCATTGTCCGTTTCAAGCGCCCTCCGTATCCTCCCCGGCACGTGCTGGACCACGACGCAGGCAGATTGCAGCACCATGGAACTGACCCGAGGGCCGCCGGATGCCGAGGGCGATGAACTGCGGGTTCGGGAGGCCGTGGTTGGAGAGAAGGAGGCGGACGGAGCCGAGGAGGGGGTCGGAGGAGGGGGAGGGGGAGGAGGAGAGGATGCGGATGAGGAGGGAGGAGGGGAGGGGAGGGGAGGAGGGGAGGAGAAGAGGAACTTGTCGTTCACGTGGGGTTCGAGGAGCCCACGCGGTCGACGCGGGTGCGGAGGGTGGGGAGAGGACGACGACACGGTGGCGTAGGAGTGGAGGCCCGGCGTCGGCGTGGTGGGGAAGGGGAGAGTCTTGGGCCGAGATTAGGGTTAGCTCCAGGAGGATGGGGGACATTGTTTTGGGTTTCTTGGATGGGTTTGGGGTGCGGCCTTCTTCGGCCCGGCGGAGGGAGGAGAAGGAAGGTGGGTTTCTTTCGATTTTGATTTTTCACGAAAGAGGGGAAAGTGTTTTCTTTCTTTTCTTTTTTTGGTCTATTTGCACTTAAATACTCTAAAGTTCGTGCCGCTTGGTAATTTGATACGCTGGGTTTTCTTTTGCCGAAAACATACCCCGTAGTTCCCAAAAAGTTTGACTTTGGTACTTTAAGTCGTTATAGCTTATAGGGTATCAGAGTTACTTACATATTTTTGAGCTTTGGTGTAGTTTAAGTGCAAATAACTCTTATGTATTGTCTTTTTCTTAAATTAGAAAAAAAAAGAGTTCTTGGGTTGTGAAGCTTCTGGAGAGATTGCGGTAGTTGAAGTTTGTTATGGTAGTTCGGAGATACTATACTTATTTTTGTTTATTACTTTTTTTTGTTCATTATAAAAAGTTATTTTGAGTTTGTAGGTAGAGTGTGCAAATAACACCATTCCTTTATATTTAGTCGCAGATAAAGCCAAAACTTTTGGGTTATTTGTGTACATGCTGCACTTGTTTCTAGTTTTCACCAAAAAAATGAATCCGACCCTTGAACTAAGACAATTAACAATTAAAATAGAAAATAGTAATCACCTCACTATTGTTTAATGATGGAGATTTTAGTTTTTTAAAGTGAAAATAATTGATTTTGTTAGGGTATTATAGTTGATGACTTTGTATTTGGTTGGCTTTGCGACGGTAATGATTTTTCTTTTCTTTTCTTTCTGATAGTAAAGAAGTTTTTTCGTGTAGAAAACTAGCCAGTAAATTTGTTTGTCCAAGAAACCTTATAAATCAAAAGTACTATTCCCAATAAATAAAGCTTAAAAAAAAAAATTTCTGGTCCAATCTCATGTCATTTGGCCTAATTTTATCGGAATTTATATTTTCTAGTTTGTTATCTTTTATCATAACCAAGGTCGTAGCCATGAACTCGACCTGAGCTTCAATGGACCGCGTCCGCGGCTTCCCTCTTAGGCGAAGTGTCTACGTCTTAGAATTTCTACAGTTTGATCGATTTGTTGTCTGATAATGAACTGCAGACCACCTGTTCGACGAAAAGCCTGACCCATTTGAGCACCAGCGGAGGTAAAAATTCTCTCTCTATCTGTCTTTTTCTTCCCCATTTTTCATTTCTATGCATACTTGCTATTTTACTAATAATTTTTTTTAGCTATAGCTTGTCATTTGATGTTCTTTACTTTTTAGCGCATTGCTTTCATTAAGCCTAAGTAGTTAGTTCATATTTGTTTCTGACCAGACTCCAGGTTTTAGTTTCTGAGCTAATTTCTCTCAATGCAGTCTCTAATTATCTAGATCATGCCCACTTGTTGCTAGCCACAAACTCCTTATCTAATTTTTCTTCTTCTTTAGATGGACCACAAAATTATTAACATTTTCTCCTTCCATTATTTAGTACATATATATAAATTTAGTGGTGCCTTGATGGGGCCTTGGTTACCATCGATGTTAAGATATTCATGGTCATGCTATAGTTGTGAGAAGCAAATATTTGTCTTTGAGCTGATAATGACACGCGAATGGCCTTAATTATAATCATAAGGACGCTTACATTCAATTACTTAGTACTTTGTAGGGTCTAGGAATCAACTAGGACGGACAGCTGAGTTACATAATTGAGAAAGAATCTTACATTTTATTGTCCAGTGAAGAGGTATGCTCTGTTGTTTCTTGATTCATTTTGACAATTTTGAAGATTCATCTTCTTAAATATTCTTTTGAAGAGAAATCTGAAAATAATGTGTTATTAACTCTACATCCACTATTGAATGAAACAAGTTCTAGGTTTCTTATCAGGGCATTGCTTTTAAGGGGGAGTCCTCTTTTTAAAGTTCTTCCTAATTTCCCACACAGGATGGCTGCCATGCCAACAAATCTTTTTAAATAATCGTAGCCTTTTTTTTTAAATAAATATTTATAGAAGTTTGATGGTGTAAGCATTCTCAGTTGCTATCCTTGACCTGCACCAATGTCCTAAGTTGTCCTAAGCTTATGACCGAACTACAATTTCTCTTACTTCCTCGAGCTTTTAAAACCAGTTTAAAAACATTTATTATTGTTGTTGTCCTCAGAGGAGGGAAAAAAAAAAGAAAAAGAAAGAAAGAAAGAAGAAAACTCTGTACATCAACTTCAGTAGTGGATGTTTTTGTTCTTGTAAATGTAAGAACATCATCAATCTCTTATTACTATCAATTAATCAAGACCCTAGGCTTTTCCTTAGAGGGAAGAAGGGGGAAATAAAACTATGACTTACATTTCAGCATTATCATTGTCTCTTTGCTATATACAAAATCTTCTCTAACCTTCTTTGTCTTTTCAACTGAGAAGAACTAATAACAGCAACGCTTGCAGACATATTTGCTCCTTTCATTATTGATTACTAGGTTGTAGGTAGGAAGAGAACAAGTAGCTAAGCTGGAGAATCGGTGGTTTGTTCTGCTTAAGCAACAAGAATATGCCACTATGTTAAGCTAAGCACTAAAAGTTCCCCCATTCGAGATACCTTTCTTGTATCTTTGTAGTTCATTGTGCAAGATGCCTTCTTCAATCCCTTTGTTTCTCCTAATCCTCCGTTATAAATATGGATAGTAAGGGAAAACACTTCACTCCCGAGACGCTTATTATCTACGCTTTTTTGAGAAACACTTGTTGTCTACTTCTTTTACATAAAAGAAGCAGAACAATGGAAGGAAAAAGACCAACACCCTCTATCCTACCATTCTTCCTCCTCTCACTACTGATTCTCACCCCTTTTGCTGACTGCCGCAAGAAGCGGCTACACAGGCCTTGTAAGAACCTTGTGCTCTACTTCCATGACATTGTTTACAACGGGAAAAACATGGAAAATGCCACTTCAGCCATAGTAGCAGCCCCTGTGTGGGCGAACCGCACAGCCCTAGCTAATTTGATGCATTTTGGTGATATGGTCGTCTTTGATGACCCAATCACTTTAGATAACAACCTGCATTCTGAACCAGTTGGTCGAGCACAAGGCATGTATTTGTATGTCAAGAAGGAGATTTATACGGCATGGCTGGCTTTCACCTTTGTGCTCAACTCAACAGAGCACCAAGGGACTCTAAACTTTCTTGGGGCTGATCCATTGATGAACAAGACACGGGATATATCTGTGGTGGGTGGGACAGGGGATTTCTTGATGAGCAGAGGGATTGCGACGATTATGACTGATGCATATGAGGGTGAGGTGTATTTTCGACTCCGAGTTGATATCAAGCTCTATGAATGCTACTGAAGCGGCGAGAAGACTGAGGTTGTGTAAGGGGAATATATAGTCTGTGAGCAATTTATAGCAGTGGTTGTTTTGGTTTGTTTTTACAGGTTTACATGTATTGTTGAATTGGGTAGAAATGTATTGTCGTGGAGAAATTTCTGGATGCTTTAAAGTCTTGAAGCACTGTGTTTTTCTAAACTTCTTCTTATTCTTCTTCTTGTTATTTTGAGTGGGTCCCTGTCACTTCTTTCAATGCGGAGAGGATTTCTTCTTGCTATGTTGGTTATGGCAACTCCTGAGATTGTCAACATGCCTTAATTCTCCTAAAAGTTTTGTGGTTCCCAGTTGAAACAGGGTTTAACACAAACAAACTACACTCCTTCCATTTTGGCTGTGTGGTGTTTGATCTTGTATTTGTACAATTCATTCCTCTTAAAAACTGCTTTTCGGATTCAGGCATCGCTAACAGGACTTTTACCAAATTTTTTTATGGATGGATATCCTGTACAGTAACAGATTGGATTTGGTTGGGTCCTCCTATCCAAGCCTGATTAGATTTAAGAGTATCTGATTAGATAACTTTGAGGTTACCCTACTACTTTATATCAACTGAGGGACACCTAGTCAAGAGGAGACTATATAAGGAGAAGGTAGGGAATAGGGTGTTCAGAGAATGAGGCCTTTAGGGGATATATCGTGATACATGTTTGTGTCATAGGTTAGATTAACCTGTTCTTTTGTTGCAGTCCCAATAAATCCTTTCCATGAAACATGGAGGGATGTTAGCCTCACCTTTTCTACTAAGCAAAAACCCCTCAGGCCTATGTATTGAAGAGGGATGATTGTTTTTACATCTATAGTTTATATATCCATAATCGACAACTAATTTTGCTTCGTGTGTAGAATTATGCAAGTGTGAAAATAGTAATGCATCCTTTGCTGTACTGGAAGTGTTTGGACCAGTATGACTAAATGAATTTTCCATCCTTAAGTCTATTTATTATTTTTCAGATGCCTTTATGTTGTTACTACACTGCATGCTATCTTGCTGATCAGGTGGTATCCTCACAGGAGATGTTGATTCCGTCATTCTGATAACGTACGAGTTCTGGATATTGGGTTTCGGGTTCCCTGCATACACACTCAATCACTCATTTGAGCTGTGGAGTTGAGCCAAACAGGTAAGATTTCGACCTGTTTCTTGATGCATGTTCACAAATTGTCGTATTAAATTTATGCAAAGGAAAATACATAAGATATTAAGATTGTAAATAACATAAATAAGACTTCCATGAGCTTTTATAGTGGTCTTCTTCATTTTCAGAGATGCTTATTCTTCCATAACCAAAATATAGTCTTTAGTCGTTACATAATCAATTACTATAATCTTAGTTGCTGATTATTATAAAAGATAGCATCTCTTACTGTATGACGTATTCTTCTAAGAACTGGAATTGTGAGGAGCAATAATAGACACTGAGGGATTGGAACATCCTTTATCACATTGCCAATCAAAATCATGTGTACAAACTTTCATGAATTGGATAATTTCTAGTTGATTACATAAGGGAAAGAAAGCAAATTATAGATTTATTCATGGAGTAGCCCGAATTAATAGGGCCTTGTAGGGAGCTTTAGATTTCTTCTTTCCACTACTTCCATTAGAAATCTTTTTCTGTTGATCCGAACTTTTTGGTGGTTGATTCTTTTGGTACCTGAGTCCACATTTGTTGCATAATGTCTGCACATTAAAATTCAAATTAGAAACACCACACCAATAATATTTTACAAGTATTTGATAAATTCATAAGCGTCAATCATTTCTATTACAGAGTTGATGTGACATATACTTTTACTAGAAAAATTGGTTAGTTCATGTTCCCGTGTTCATTCTATATTTTTGATGGATCAATTATTCATTCAGCATTTATTAAATTCATTCCAACAAATATGTTCTATTGCTTACATGACATTAAAACATAGTGCAACTGATATCAGGGCGGGTAACAGCTCATGTTTTGGATTTTCCTTTAGTACCCAAACACAAGATAGCATCAGACAAAAACTTTCATTTATATCACCTTTGCAAGGGATCAGAAGTGTGTTTTAGTTTCGGGTTAACCACTCAACGGCTATCTGGTTTGGGTCGAGTCCTGGTCTCGTTAGGTTTTGATTGGATATCAGCAAGTGAATATTGATATTAGGCATATTCGGAATAATTTTTTATGATTGCTATTGCTTTCAACCAGGCAAGAAAACTAACATAATCCTAAACTGATTAGAGAACAAAATAAAGTCAAACAGTCTAAACCTTCTTCTAGAAACTTGAAGAATTTACATATGTGATTATTTAATTAAATGTAAATTTCATCTGCAATATAATTGAAATGAGTGATCTACGATGATTATTTTTGGAGAATAAAAGTAAAGTCTACAGTTAATAAGATTTAGTTAGGATCTCTTGATGAGAGAAAGCAGATTTAGTTTCCCCCCCCTTCCTTTCTACAAACTAAATTTCACATTATTTCATTCAAGCAATAAAGCCAATAACTTTGTAGATACAAATAAAAGTTTGAGCACTCTGTAAACATAGATCCGGATGCACCAATCGACCCAGAACTTAATAGTGACCATGTTTATGTATAGATATCACATTAGTGTTTGCTGCTATAAGAACATACTATCTAATCATATTATTCATCTAAAGTACATTCTTCTATTCAAAAATCAAAAGGATTTTAAAGACAAAGGGTTTTTATTACCTTTGGACCTTGAGGTCCATTTCTCCATTTAGTTGTTCTTGTTCCACCACACATTGCACAACTATTTGTGCTGGTGGAACTGGCGCTATCCACTCGAGTTTGCTTTGGAGCTTTTTGGGGGTTTGCAGAATCTGCAGTCTGCAAATGGTTGGAGCTGACCTCCACCTCTTTACCCTCCAAAACATATGAAACACTGCTCTCCATCTTTTCTTTTTGACTTCCTCTCTTAAAATAACGAGATGAGAAGAAAGTGCTAAAGAATTTGGAGCGAGGATAATATGTGAGAGCATGTTTCCACACAGGAAGTTTATATAGAGGAGAATGACAAAAATGGAAGGAAAATATTGACCAAAGGGAAAAGAGGGGAAGTATTTTTCTCGCATATTTGGATACTGCATTGCTAAGAATTGCAGTAAATTGAAGAAAAAGACCCCCCTTATCATGAGAGAGACAAAAACAATTTGAGGGATGCATCTGGAATCTGCAAAATGAGAAAGAAATATGATGAGAATACAGTTCAGTTGGTTGCTTAATCAACATGTTCATTCGTAAAAAATGTATGTAGTGATTGTCTTTAATGTTATAACAAGAAGCTATAAGGAGAAAATGAATGATAATTACAAATTACAATATATACTATCTGCGTCGTTCATTGAATCAAGTAATTTCTTTCATTGAATCGAGTAACTTTCTTTTAAGGAAAGTACTGACGAAAGAAAATTCGTCGCAAAAGACATACATGAATAAACATCACATAGCAATATTTGGTTTTTCTCCATTTGTATAATGAGAAACTTTTGGAAAATAAACGTAACAAAAAGATCCTTTAACAAATCAAAATACCTTCAGATCATCAATCAGTAATAAACAACATCTTAAGGAGGCGCATTAGCCTGAATATAACATTCTATTAAATCCATACTGAGTTTTGAAATAACCAAAGTGTCGGGAACATTTAGAAGAAAAATGATGAAATCTAACGTTGACAACAAGATATTAGCACAAGGGTAGTTTTGCCATATTCGTAAGACACATAGTTGTAAGATAGTTCATGAGAAAGTTGCATAATGTAAAAAATACCAACTCAGGCTAAGCCAATAAGTGGATAAAAATGGTGCTTAGTTGCAATAAAGGGGAAAAAAAAGCAAAATCACATTTTAACTAGAAAACTAAATTACCTTAATCCTTCAAGCACATTAACTGTCTGAGGAGTTAGTGGGCATCTGATGTCAACAACTTTTAATTGTATACATAAGTTTGAAGTGATCCACAATTGTGTCAGATTTCTAGATACTAATAGAAAGAGGCGTAGAATGCATTAGTTTCAAGTATTAGACAGATGGAAGAAGAGCATCATGAGAATTGGGAGGAAAAGAAATGGATTGAGAAAGGAGAAAGGATGAAGGTGGAAGCAAATTTTATCAGAGAAACAAGAGAAGGGTATTGGTGAAAAGGAACATAGCGATACAGATAGACGGGTTGGGCGATGGCAGATAAGAAGGTAGAAAGAGTGACTTATATAGGGAGGAGAAAAAGATTACAAACGTGGAAAAAAATTAAAGCGAAGACTCCAGAAATAGCTAATAAGGTAAATCCCGTGTTGCTGAAAAAAGACGAAGAGGTTCACGCATTGCTGCAAGTAAACAGTCGGGCAATCTTTTCGTACTTGAAAGAATTTTATATAATATTTTTGATAATTTGTAGTATGGAAGTATGTAAAAATGTATATGTAATACATCAACGATTTTGGATTTGGTCTGTTCGATCTTTTAGATTTGATTAATGATTTCCGTCATTAATGATTCCAATCATATATGAATGTAAAAAAACTTGTTCCAAATATTATGTATTTGTGTTTTAATTTTAAGCATGCTTGCTGCCAAATCCCATATTGACTCAAAAATCTTTTTCGGATGCTAAAGTTTTTGCATTCTAGTAAATTTGAGGTATTAATAATATTAGCATGCAAGTAGATGCATGTGTTTTGAATATCCTTGTAAGTTATGGATTTATGTTTTTCTTGTATTACTTTTTGACTTGTAAAAGTATTTAAAAGTTATCCGAGTAATGTTCAAAGTTAAACCCAAATATAAATAAAAATAGGCCTTGGATACACTTTCTGTTTATTAGATCCGAATCATGAATGATATTCATCAACCTTTTTTCAGGTTTGAATATATGCAATAGGCATTAGATGCAATGTTGACCCGCTAGCACTCCTCAAAAGAGGAGGAGAAACTCATTTATTGCTGGAAAGAGTCAACAACGTCATTTTGAAATATTCCTTTAAGCAACAACTGGACAATGCTTTCATATTTTGGAAGAATCATATAACATGTTTGATAATTGATTGTATGTATTAATGTGAACATAAAAAATATAATCGGGTGTCAAATTTAAGGGTTTATTGTTTCAAGGAAGATAATGAAAAGCATAAGAATACTTGAAAAAGAATCATTATGGGGGGTTAATTTCCTACTGGAGAATTTTTTCCCCTTGTTTACGCTTTTTCGTTAGAAAAAGCTTTAAAACATATTTCACATCCATTTTAAAATGTTATTTTTAAGAGAACCATTTTAGATCTTGTCTAAAGAAAAGCGTTGCGAACATGATGCATGGTCTGATAGAATAGCAAAAAATATAGTTGTAAAATGAGGTAATATATGCCTCATTTCTATTGTTTGCTTATTAATTTGACAAAGAAAAGATATTTCGCGGGTCAGTCAATTTCTAGTCAAGACTATGCCAGAGTTCATGAAAAAAGACACCTTCGAGTGTGTTGAAAGCTTGTAAATTAGTTTCCAAGCGTGTAAAGGAAAGATGTTTTAGCGAGACAAGTACGCACTGCAAATTGGAGGAATTTATGAAAGGGAAGGGAAGAAGGATGCAAGTATGACTTGTACTGTTGTACAAGGAAAGGAGGTTATGAGCAGGAAAAAAAAGGGTGAAAATGTAAAAGGATGAAGTAGGCTGACCTTGTATTATGTTCACATAGATCCATGTATTTCCTATATTTCCAACATGAAGTATCTGAATTGGTAATTTCTGTTTTCATAGCAATTTGTATTATGTTCATTTGTTAATTATTACTACTAGAACATATTTAGAGAATACAAATTTCTAAATAAGCTACTGGCCTAAAAGAAACTTTCCCTCTTCAAGTTATTGAGATGCTGGAGGAGACTAGAAAATGTTTCTTGAAGATCTTTTTCATCCATGTACGTTCTGGTGATCGTCAAATTGAGACAAGGGAGATAAGCTCAATGTTTTTCTTTTCTTTTCACAAGCTTACAAGGAATTTGAAGTGCTTTTGGGTGGAATGGGGCTTTAGTCTGTTTGGTCGCATGAAAATTGATTATACTTTTGTAATCATGCTAAATTAAACGAACAACTTATTCAACAGATATGTTTCATTTATTTCTTTGTTGACATCGAACGGAGCAATTAGTAACAAGTTCAGCTCATGCTCATCTTGGTATTTTTTGTGACCTGACAGCCCGTAGACATGATATTTTCATCTTTTAGTTATGGAGATCTTTAATATTTTTGTGGCAAAAATAAATATGACAATTATCATAGAACACACATTATCTAGTTCTTTTGAACATTGCATACAACAGGCTTGAAGAGAGAGGATAAAAACATGATCTGCTAAGTGCTAACACTATCTTTTCTTCATCCGAACAAAGGTAACTTCAGAGTAATTAAGAGTTCATTGTTCAGTCTCTTTGTGATATTGATGTATTAAATGGAAGAAATGTATATGAGATGATAACTCATTCAGCAAAATGAGCTGTCAGCTCAATGCCATATGAGCCCCTCTGCTAATCACATTAGGGTGGGTCTCACACGATAGTGATTTGGCAGCCCATTTTATTAAATGAGCTGCCAGCTCATACTCAGTATACTCTATTATAAATTCAATCCTCACTTGTGGTACGCCACACCCCATATTTATCCTTGTTATATATAATGATTATGCAACTTCAGGATTGGAGGATGGGTATTAGATCAATGACTAAACTTGAAGGCATGAGTTCTTCATCTATCACCAATTTTACAGCATGAGCCATGCCTTGGAGACCATATGCCTATTATTTTCTTGTCCATGCGATTCGCATGCTAATTGAAGATGCACATTATTGGTAATGGATAGTTAGTTGTTGTATCACAAAAATGGCCAAGTATTAATCCTCTCCTAGGAGTCGACACGAGTCCCGAATTAGCTATGCACCAAATCAACTCGGCCCTATGCAAGACGAGTCAAATAACGTCACCACTCGGCCCTTCTTGAACTCGGCCCTTCCCAAGAAGGGCCAAGTCAAAAGGTGTCCTCACTCAGACCCCACTGTTAAGGCTAATTTCCTGCCTCTTCATTTTGTAAAACCAAGTTAAAGAGCTCTTAATCCGAAATAGCCAAATCAAAATGCGTCTTTTATCGACCCTTTCAGAGCAGAGACGAAAAACAGTCATTCTCGAATCCCGCGCCAACAGCCGATCACCGTCATATTAAATGCATGGTCGGAATCATCATTACACCAACCCCAAAAGTCTTAATGACTCATCGAATCCTGTTAGTACTGTCACCATCGCATTAATCACATGGTTGACTCATACCACCCACAGCCAACACCTATAAAATATCAACCGAATAAGCTAACCGTGTGGACTCGGCCGAAGTTACGCAATTGCCCTCCCGAATTTATTATAAATAGATGCATTGCCTGCTGCATGGGGGTAAGCAATCTTTTGCAATATAACACATTGCAATCATACTTTTCTCCTCCAATTAAGATCAATACTAACTTGACCGTCAGGGAAACCCCCGAAGAACCCAACTCCGATCCTCTTATGTATTTTTTGTGTGCAGGATGAAATCCTCTAACCAATAATCAACCATCAAAGAAGAGTGAGGAATCATAAAACCCTACACAACCCACACTAAATTTTCCTGTTTGATGTCTGACATTAATAGATTAACGCTCACCGTAGGGCCTCTTTTTCTTCTTCATACAAGCTGGCTGATTCGATTGTCCAAGCCGATCATCAATTCCTTCCACCGAAGAAACACATAATGCGGCCTATGTCACTCAAGCTCAATTGGAAGAACTTGCCTAAAGAATTTCCTAATCTCTTTAGCAACAGTTCGCCTCCTTCACAAACAAACTCTTCAGCCGGATTTCTCCCCAGTAGCATTCTCTGTCTTTTATTGCTCCTCCCTAGGTGGGCTAGTCTGAATAACGCACGCAAGAGGAACACGCTGAATACACCTATCCTCCGCCTTGCCAACAGACTCGTTTCACTTGTGATCCTCGACAACCTCTGCAACACATGGAAGCAATGGGTGAGAGTCCTAGTTTTGGCCATAGCGGCCATGAGCGCGCCACATGGACAACATTGCGCAATGCTAGATACCCTCACGCTGCTCTAGGCCCCTCCACCACTTACTTTGAGTTTGGTTATCTAACATTTAATAATATTATAGACGACATCGGAGGGAATACTCCGCTCGCCGATTGGATCATGATTACCCTATGCACCAAATTCAAAATGCCACATATTGAGAAGTAAAAAGGTGAGTGAGATCCAGTGGCGTATGCACAAAACTTTTATGATCTGATACATATGCAACATGTTACCGAGCTTTCCTTATCACCTTGACGGGAAGCACAAAGATGTGGTAGAATTTATTGGATAAAAAGTCCATCCGCAGCTTCGAACAACTCAGCCAAAAATATATACATCATTTTTGGCAGGCTCCATGCAGAAGAAACCCTCCTCTGTCTTACTGCAGATGCTACAAAGAGAGATGATGGAGAAGGATCTTCTCACATCCGCCTCCAAGCCAAGTAGGGCCAACAAGAGATATTAGAGGAAAGAAGTGGCTAAAAAGCCATCCCTCACTTCCCTCAACACTTCTCTCTCACAAGCACTTTACTAGATTGAGAGAGAAGGACATCTCACTTCTACTCCTCCCCGCATGAAGTTGAACCCCTGATCTACAGATCCTAAGCAATATTCCGGTATTGCAGAGATCACGATCATCACACTGATGGCTGTAGTGTCCTCCAAAGAGATATTAAAGACTTGATATAGAAAAGGCTGCTAAAGAAGCTCATTTTTCAATGAGATATAGGGGAACTAGCTCTAGAAAAGTCAGAGAGGAGGTCTCGATCAAGATCGTCTCGTCACAAACACTAACAATATGACCAACCCAGAGAGACAGACACTCAATGCGTTATCAACACTATTAATGGCGGTCCAACGACAGGAGGAATGTCAAACAACACTTGGAAGAAGTATGCTCGACGAGCGTTGTAAACCAACCTATGTGAGAAGAAGCCAAGGACAGATCAACCCATTTTATTCAACAGTGCTGATCTAAGAGGTGTAGAGACCCCTTATGATGAGCCCATCATTTTATCAGCCGAGATTAATGGCTTTCGAGTCAAAAGAATCTTGGTGGATACTGGGAGATCCCTTCACATCATATTTATGGATGCATTCAACCAGATAGGCGTCGACAGGTCGAGTTTATGGCCTTGCCCGTGTCCCATCATTGGGTTCTCAGGGCACTCAATTCAACTAGCAGGACTGATCACTCTCCCCCTATTAGTCGGTGGATATCCTTGCCAGTCTACAGTTCAAACCTAACTCTTGATGATAAACGTAAAGTCCACCTACAACGTTATTCTGGGCAGAACTTTCTTGAATAACCTACAAGTAGTCTCATCCATATATCATCAGATGATGAAGTTCCCGACCCCATAAGGAGTTGGTTCCGTGAGAAGCAACTAGCGGGAAGCCATATCATGCTATCTGCTCGCAATGAGAGGGAATGAAGCTTCGGAGGCCCTACCATTCGAGAAGATCTGCCTTCAAATGCATAAAGACCAAGAACGGGAGCAGATGACCCGCGTAAAAGAATTGCAAGAAGTACCGATCGACTTTGATGGATCAAAAAAGTCAAAATCAGGTCAAGACTTATTGAGCCCCAATGAGGAGCCGTGGTCGCGTTCTTGCGTGACAATGCAGATGTGTTTTCTTGGGGACCCGAATATATGCTGGGAATTCCCCCAGAAGTGATATGCCATGAACTCTAAGTCGACCAACACTGCTAGTCGGTTCGCTAAAAGAAGAGGTATCTTGTCTCTAAAAGACAAAAGGCAGCTGCAGGGGAAGTCAACCGATTACTCAAGGCCGACTTCATCCGAGAAGTTCAATATCCGGAGTAGTTATTCAATGTTGTGCTAGTGAAGTAGTCTACTAGCAAATAGAGAATGTGCATGAACTTCACCAACCTAAATAAAGCTTGCCCGAAGGATAGCTATTCTCTCTTGAGGATCGATCTGTTGGTTGACGAGAGTGCTAGCCATGAACTACTTAGCTTTATGGATGATTTCTTTGGATACAATCAGATAATGACAGAAGATGATGAAGAGAAGACTTTCTTCATCACGGACTAAAGGACCTACTACTACAAGGTGATGCCCTTCGGTCTCAAAAATGCAGGGGCCACTTATCAAAGATTGGTGAACAAAATATTCGAACCCCAGATTGGCCGCAATGTGGAGGCGATGTAGATGACATCTCGGTGAAGTCAAAGCAAGCGGCATCTCACGTGTTGGACCTTGAAGAAACTTTCTCTGTTCTCCAACACTTCCACATGAAGCTCAACCCAACCAAGTGTGTCTTCGGAGTACAATCAGGCAAATTCTTTGGGTTTATGATTACCTAACAGGGCATTGAGATTAACCCGAGAAGATAGCCATCATGGAGCAGATACCCGAGTCTTGCACGTTGAAGGATATCCAGAAGCTGAACGACAAAATAGCCGCATTGGGCCGCTTCCTTTCAATATATGTCGAAAGAAGTCTTACTTTCTTCAAAACTTTGAGAGAAAGCAAGGAGTTGAAGGAAGACATCGGATGAACGGCAGAGTGCAGTAAGGCCTTCAGTGATCTCAAGAGGTATTTAAGCACCAAATCCCTATTAAGCCGACCCAGAGAAGGAGAAACTTTGTATCTTTACTTGGCAATCTCACAAGAGGCAACAAGCTCTATCATGATTCAAGAAGAAGATAATGCACAAAGGCCTATATATTATGTCAGACGGATTCTAAAGGCCGCCGAACTCAACTACACTCTCATTGAGAAGGTCTCATTCACCTCATAATTACGACTAGGAGGCTTCGGCCCTATTTTCAAGCTCACACTATAGTGGTGCAGACAAACCTGTCTTTGAAGAAAGCACTTGGCAGCCCTACCACTTTTAAAAGGATGATCAACTTGTCAGTCAAACTCAATGAATATGATATACAATTTGAGTCAAGAACAATCATAAAAGCTCAAGCTTTGGCTGACTTCTTGATAGAGTCGACCACGATAGA